TAGGTACAGTGAACTTATGTTAATTAAACCAGTTTGATAGGAGTTCACTTTGTGGCTTTATCCTGCAATCAGCCATTAGAAGACAGGCACACTGTGGTCATAAAAGGCGCACATGATCAGCAGTGATGCTCAGTTGGTACTAAGGACCCCAAAGTGTGCAAATGAAACATTTCCCCATACCACCAGCCTGAACTGTCGATGTAAGACAGGATGGAGCTGTGCTTTTATGGTGTTCTGACCTAACTGTGATCCTGCCATCCGAATGTTGCAGCAAAAATTGGTGAGCCTGTACAAATTGTAGCCTCAGCTTCCTGTTCTTAGCTGACAGGAGCGGCACCCGGTGCGATCCTCTGCTGCTGTTGCCCATCTGTTGAAGGTTTGTTGCATCTTGGTGGTAATGAGCAGTTATTTGAGTTACTGTTGCATTCCAGCTCGAAGCAGGCTGACCATCATCCTCTGACCTCTGGCATCAACAAGGCATTTTCTCCCAGAGAACTGCTGCTTGTGGACTTTACCACCACTGTTAAAGTGTTAAAGTGTCCAGTGAGTGTATTTTGAATAAGAATCAGACCGACCAATCACTGGAGCCCATTAATCTCTTCCCTAACGCAGCAGACAGGTGTGGAGTCCACATGGTTTCAAGTTCCCCATTATGTTTTTATTGCATTAGTATTTATTTATTTACAGCCTGCTTTTAAAGGATATGGAAACATCTGCTTAAAGATAATTGAGTGTGGGTGGAGAGGACTCAATTGGTTAGATTATATTCAGGCTGAACAGTCACTGTAGGTGAGCGGGGCCTGGAATACCCAGGGAACTGGAGAAATATGATTTATAGCACTCAGCCTTCTCATTATTTGGTTGAGGCTGTCAGCTGTCACTGCACACACAGGAAATCCACGAGGCTGCATAGCCACAGGGCACGGGAACAGTGCGACTGCGCATCCTCCAAAACCCGCCGTAATGATGGCTGTGGGGATGACTGACAGACGTCAGCACTGTCTGCGTCCCTTTTCCATTCAAGTCAAAGCTTTGAAAGGCTGACGGTTGTGTGCTGAATGTACACTTCGTGTGCACGTATGCACAAATGTGTGAGAAGCAAATGCACAGAAGGAGAAAAGCAGCAAACACATTTAATATTTTTTGTAAACACTCAAAAAACTTTGTTACTCCTTTTAATCATTTACTCCACATTTTTATTTAAAGTCATTTAAAGTACCTTTCAATGCTTTAAAAAAAATTGCATATTGGTAAAGTGAAGAATTACTTGTGATACCCGTGTCTCATAATTTCTACTCTCAGCCTGGTTTTAGCTCACCTCAGAGCTTCCTTTATTTCCAGACATGCTCAGTTTGGATTAGTCTGATAACAGAACTACAACCACAGAATGGGCGCTACACAGAAGCTGTTATGTACATATAGAATTACTTTGTTAACGGTCAGCCTCAAGCAGCCACTTAACTAGTGTCACAGTCAATTGTTGGAGACAGCAGCGCGGCAGCAGACAGTTAAAATAATCATCCTGTGTGAAGTGACACAGACACAGCACACGTCACCAAACGCTCGATCAACACAAGAAACAAGACACGTTAGTTTCATTTATATACTCTTTAATATATCTTAAAAAATGGATATACAATCTGAGAAAGAAAATGTCGAGGATCTGAAGAAGAACAGATTGTTAATCTCGTTCCTCTGGCCCTGGAGTTTAACTGAAGCGAAGACATTTCCAGAGAAACATCCGAAGAAGAGGAGAAAACAAAACAAATTACCTCCAACAACACAAACTGCCAAACTAAAGGACACCGATAACAAGATCTCCAACAGCAAGCAAAAGTATTATTAAGGCCAAGAAAAAGCACTGAGTGTTGGGCTGAGGCAAAAACTACCGAGACAATTTGTTGCCAATTAATGAAGCGTGGTGTAGCCAGATCTGGGACTGCTGTCACTCTGTTTTTAAACTCCTGGGTCTTTTATTTTGGCAGAGTCGGGTGCTTTGTGTTGTTGTGTTTGCTAAGAAAATAAAAATGATCTGAGCTGATGAATCCAGATTTTAAAAAAGAAAGAGGAAACCAGAGCATGCTAACAAGTCACATCGTCTCCACAAGTCACACTGTAACTGCCCACACACACACACACACACACAGACACACTCCAGGAGCACAAACTGTCATTTTTGTTAATCTTACACGCACACTTCCTACACAAAAATTCAATCTTCTGCCTCTACATTTCCACATCCTCGGTAGACTGCAACACTCGCACACAGACGTTTTCCTCATGCAGACGTGAAAACAAAGCTGAACGGGTGAAAACAGGCGATGCTTACAGACTCAAACCGGAGGCACAGCAATAGCCAGGGCCGGGCAAACGACACACGCTCACACACACACACACACATAAAAACACAATCACTAGCCAAAACCCACAGCAGCAGAGGTTCATGGAGACATTATCTAGTTAGTCCAGAATTCCTAGCGGCCATCCCACAAAGCATAATCTGCTCTAGTCAACCGAGAGGCGCCAATACAGTTTAACTAGTTAACTAGCACTCGAGGTAGCAATTTAATCCAGTGTCAAACATGTCAACTGCCTCAAGAGTGTTTCCCACCAAATCTGTGCAGTTTTTTTAACCTCCCCTTTTCCCCAGTGTTTGACTGTGACCGAGTCTGCAGAGCTCCACACATTTATTAGACCCCCCCATCCCCCCACCCCCAGGGTAAGGTTTACCCCACTGCTGCCCTAAATTAAAAGTATTAGTAATGACCAAAATCATTGTTTATGTTTCTGTAATGCTTAATCCTGCAGTACACACAAGCTCTTAATCAAAATTGGATTTTTAAATGGTAAAATATAGTTATTGTTATGATCCTTGACATTTTAAATTTCCTGCTTCACAAAAACGCTGAAAAAGTAAATCACAATTATTATTATTATTTTTATTAAGATGCCAAATTACATGTTAACTTGCATTACTGAATAGAAAAATTAGTTTTAGTTGTTGAACGTGATGTCTCAGAGAAGTGCTGCGGATCAAATTCACCTATAAAAATGTAAAATCGGTTTGTTTTTGCATAAACAAAGAAAAAAAAAACATATTTTTGACAGAATTCTCAAATATTTGTGATTCCTGTTTTTATGACAGGCGTTCCAATGGCTTTGTTAAGTACTGCACTTTCATAGATTTCATAGATGTCCAGAATGACGCCTTCCTGCAGTCTCTAACAGATCTAAAGCCACTTACATTAGCTAGCTAGTAATCCTGCTAGCATGTCATCTTGCCATCTGTTTTCATGCAATCTGGAAACCTGCCTTTTAAAGTAGCTGCTTGAACCAGCGTTCAAGTCTTCTGGGCTTCTGATGCACCCAGTGGAGATATATTTGGGCCAAGTTTTCACATTCTTTTGGCCAGTTATGACTTACACCTGCATGCAACTACAGCCTGCTCACCGATCAGTTGAACTCTGGCTACAAACAATAACAGCAGACTCTGCACGTCTGTATGCAGATATCATTTACAGAGTGGTCTTTATGAACCTCTGCTATTGTTTTCTCCACACACATTCAGATAGTGAAATCATACAGTCTGCTTACAAAGGGGGAGAGACTGAAATAGCGCCATTTTTAGAAAGATACAGTCAGCTCGGAAATCTCCCTAAGGGAGCAGAACGAGGGGGTTTGTGCAGATCAGTCAAAAACCTCAATATCGGTTTGGCTCAGCACTGAACAGTGACTATAAAGTAAAAAAAATGACTGAGTTTAAAAGTTGTAAGGCTTTCTTTGCACCTATTGATCTTCATTGGAGACATTTTCACACATGAACTCTGGAGAATGTCAGGACTGTCTGGTGGGATACGATACACTCTGCAGCTACCGGAGCAGGCAGGAGGGAGTGCTTGCTGTGAATTCACCTGACAGTCACCTGTTCTTTTCGCAGCTCACTTTAAAGATCATTGAAAGGTGGCTGCACGTCTCTCAATAATCTTTGGAACAGTTCGGAGCTGCAGTGCACGTGGTTGATGACGAAGAACGATCATGAGTCATTTTAAGTGTTGCCTACGTACATCCAGGAGGTCATTTGGAGTCGTGTTTAAGGTTTCCTCCAACTTTTCTTTCTTTGACAGATTCTTTACCGTGTTTAGCACTTTGTTGCTTAGTGCTGTTAACAGACTCTTATGTCATCACTTCTTTAAAACCAGTCGTTGTTTCGCTTACATGAAGAGCCAGCATGCCAGAAGTTTTGACTGTAACGTTTTAACCTCTCCATCTGCAACACAGAACTTCACATGTGCGCTCACCTGTGCTGTGCGTGCGTGTGTGCATGCGTGCGTGCGTAACAGAGACAGATGCAGTAAAAAAGACAAAGAAGTGAAGAGGGCAGTGGTGCAGAGACAAGAGATGAAGCTGAAAAATGAACAGTGCATTTGGCTGTTTTTGTGGCAGTATTTTATGTCACTGGAACTGAAAACACACAGCTGTGTCTGCGTGCATGCATGCGTGCGCGTGTGTGTGTGTGTGTGTACACATGCAGAGAGAATGACATTAAAATGGGTCAGTGTGGTCATTCACATGCTGTCTAATGGGGCTGGGGGCTGCAGGCTTTCCAACTTCCAACCAATGTGTGTTTTTCCATGTGCTCACCTTTTACTGCAGGCTGTGACTGCGTGTGTGTGTGTGTGTGTGAACTCACATGCATTTTCACTTTAGTGACACAAACATGGCAGGCACTGGAACAAAGAACTGACAGTAACAGATAATCTTCCTCTTGAGTCATCAAATTTAAAAATAGCCAAGCGTGACTTGTTGTCTTCTTCAGTTAAACATCGCATCCAATTCCATCGCCACGTGGCTCGTGTCCGACGGGCTCGTCAGCGGGGTGGCGTCATTCGTGTGTCTTGCCACAACAGACAGACACTGTGGTCACTGTAACCTTCGACCGATTAACTAAAGCGTTATTTTCTTGTGTATGTAAGTCCTCTCTTCAACGTGTGACTTTTTTCTTTTTTATTTCATTCCTGCGATGTGAAGTTTATTGCAATTGGGTGAACAGAAGAGGCGGGGCGTCGCCAGAGCTGTGGTGTCGAGAGGGAGGGGAGTGGTACGAGTCAAAGAGTCAGCTGCTGATTCACACATGTGGGAGGGGAGTTGGCCAAGAGAAGCAGAGGCAAGGTAGAGCAGTTTGGTTAGTTGGTGCAGGCTGCAGCGGGTCACCAATGCTTTTATCATCTGGCGTAATGCTTGATGTAATCTTGAACCTTATTCCGAAAGTCCTCCTGAGGACAGAGAAGGTAAAGGGAAGAAAAGAGTTAGATGGGAAAACTAGAAGTAAAAATGTTGCTGTGTTGCTTTTTCCGTTTAAACGTTTAAATTCTTACGTCCGATAGTTTAAAAATGAAATTCTTCAAGTTTTCCTCACTCGGGGCACATCTAGTGCCCGAGACGTGGAGTGCTTGACATCTTGATAATAATGACGTCTGTATCGAGTCGACGTTCCTTGGCCATATCCCTTCTGGTCCTTAGTGTCTTCCTCTTTCCTTACCATGTGTCCCCCCCCTACTCGATCATGCCCCTTCAGGTTATACTTGACATCGTTCCACCCCCACCCACCATGCACGAGTCCTGTAAACGCCCCTCTGTCGTTACTTCGACTCATATCTCCTGGTGGCATCCGGTCCAACCAAGCTGTGTGTGACCTCCACTCTCCATCCTCTTTTTTCCCCTCCTCCGCTACCCGCTAGTTTTAGTCACGGTTTAAGTTTTCCATCCTTTAAAACCATTTGGCTTTTCTTGCCAACATCCTTTTCATCTTAACTTCTTTTTAATCCCATTATTCCTCTAAACACTGTTTCAATTCAATTTTATTCAGATAGCTTATACTTGCTTTACATTGTAGAGTAAAAACCTTATAATATTACAGAAAGATGTTTCAGCAAGCACTTTGTGACAGTCCAGAGACATTACAAGTCTCTCTCTCTCTCTCTCTCTCTCTCTCTCTCTCTCTCTCTCTCTCTCTCTCTCTCTCTCTCTCTCTCTCTCTCTCTCTCTCTCTCTCTCTCTCTATCTCTCTCTCTCTCTCTCTCTCTCTCTCTCTCTCTCTCTCTCTCTCTCTCTCTCTGTCTCTCTCTCTCTCTCTCTCTCTCTCTCTCTCTCTCTCTCTCTCTCTCTCTCTCTCTCATCTCTCTCTCACACTCACACTTTGAGGCTACAGGCTATTAATTTGAGCTGCAGCAGCTTTACTCTGTTGTGAAAAGGTTTCCTTTATTTGGTCTACACTAGAAAATGCAAGGTCAGGCTGTTAGCTACACACATTATAAATCATAGAAAGTGCTGTAACTGAGGGTGCTGCTCACACATAACAACACAGGGGACATTTTTTACTAGTATTAATGATGATGCAGGTATGACTCTGCACAGATTGCTAGCATTTCCCAAGTATGCGGACATGGGGTAGAAGTTAGGCCCCCCAAAAAGAGTTGAATCTGACTTAGGCCCTAAATAGCAGGTTAATCCTACTCTGTTTATTTAAATTTCTAATGAGAAACTATGTGCTACAGGCTCACATGGTCTTCTGCTGAATGTATTTTGAGTAAATGATCTTTTCCCCAAAGAACAGCACACAAATCATTCCAAACAGATGGATTTAATCCATCTGTGCTTTCAACTGGCCATTTTGTTTTTGCTATAAATATTTAGCTAGCTTATTCGTGACTAAATTAATATTTGTGCACCCTTGGTTCCTAAGCATCCTCGTCTGTCGACCCACTTCTTAATATACCTCTGCTTTTTTCTTTTTTTTCTTTTTTTTAAACCCATCCACCACCACAGGGTCCTGCCCTTGTCACAGAGTCTCCCCCTCTTGTCCAACCTTTCACATAAATGTGCCGTGCATTGACAACAACGCCCTTATTTATGCGTCAGGTCGAGCGGCCTGTTGGTTACGCACACATTTCTCTGAGGTCGCTGGAGTACGAACAAGAAATGGAGAGCATGAGAAAATATAGAATAAATGGGAAAGAGAAAGAGAGAGTCTGTGCACAAACAGGGGAGACGGCATAAATGCTGAAAAGTTGCCAGCAACCATAAAAGAATTGATGACAGCGGTCTGAGAATTGGTCCATGGAGGGATGATGGATCAGCTATTCTCTGTTGAGAGATTACTCCCTTAAGACTTTAATTAATGCTAGAAGAGGAATGAGCGCAGTGTGCTGGAGTACCCAAACTGCTTGTTTCTAAGTGAACCTACTATTTTGGTTTATTATATTGATATATATAGAGAGAGAGAGATCAGACCGTACTGACTAACATACTCAGCCAGTCACACTGCTTGGCTTGTGACCTCAGCTTAAAAAAAAAAGCAAAGAGAGCTACTGAGAATGGACAAGACAACAGTAAAAATGGTGAAACTGAAGACATACACCTAGTGATGCACAAATCAATGAGTCAGGGATCAGAATCATCCTTGATTGGTGAACATCTGTTCAGCCTCGTGTCTGTTTTGTATTTTGCATGAAACGTTGATGTTTTCTTGATTTTTTTTAGTTCTGGTTATTAGGAAAAAAAACTGGCAAAACACACTGAGCCAAGAGGAAATTAAAATGGGCCAAATATATTTCAAAGCTGCTATTACAAAAGGTGCAACTTGAAGAATTACTGCACAATAATTATAAACAACTTTTTCTCTTCCATTAATTAAATTTGAACAGCTTGATCCAGGCTTCATCAAGTATACCTAATCAACTACTTGCTAAATGCAATTATTTAACCAGCACATTGAGGCATGTAGACACAGTCAAGACAGCCTGGAGAAGTTAAAACCAAACAGCACCACAGACGTTGAAGGTGACATCGTTGTTGATGCCAAATGGGCTCATCTGAGTATTCCAGAAACTCCCGATCTGCTCGGACTTTCCCACACAGCCATCACTGGTGTTTACAGAGAATGGTCTGAAAAAGGGAAAATATCCAGTTTGCGGCCGTTCACTGGTAGAGATCAGAGGATAAGTGCTGGACTGTTTCAGGCTAATATGAAGGCAAGAGTAACTCAAAGTAGTACTCATTATAACTAAGGTGTACAACCTGGTGAGTGGAGGTCACAATGAACTCATAATGAGCTTTGTCCTGAAATATTGGTACATTGAGGCCATAAATGGGTGGACATGGTCAGTAACAGCACTCGGACGAGCTGTGGTGTTTAAATGTGGTGTTTAAGAGCAGCTCAGACTGCACAGGATGCCAAACCTCGAAGCAGATGGGCCACAACAGCAGAAGACCTCACTGGACTACACTCTGGTCAGCTAAGAGCAGGAGCTTGGATGATGGGGCCAGAATTTGGTGTAAATAATACGAAAGCATCGTATTTTTCGGACCATAAGGCGCACCGGATTATAAGGCGCATTAAGCAAAACAAAACAGTCAGAGAAGTCAAACTTTACTCAACTCATTCTTCTTGCTTCCTCCACTTCCGTACCATTGATTCATTAATGTTGAATTCTCTCACAGCTGCTCTATTTCCATGTTGTTGCAGTATATGAATGACTAACCTTCTATTGTGGATGGATTATCTCAGTTGTTCTCCTGACTGAAGTTTGGTCCGTTTACAGCATCCTGCCATGCGATTGCATTTGTCCCTGACCATTGGAAACCCTCACGTTAACGAGTAGAAAAAAGTTAGCGTTCATCCTCCAGCTTCACTGTGTTTGTTATGCTAACATAGCTGTGTCGCTAGCCACCATGTAGCACATCATTATATACCAGCAAGTCCAACTTCAGTAACCCTACAAACGTCACTGCTGTTTAGTTTTCTGTCTTCATTTATGTTGGAAGTGACAGCAGAGCTGTACGTTTGAATTTTTTAACAAATCTCTCAGTCAGAACATGCTATATCATGTTTAGCTAACTAGCGAGCTAACTTCCTGCTAACTTCTAACTCTGTTAAATTTAATAAATTCTGTTTTCATGGATGCCTGGATGTTAAACTTAATTGTTACACCTGGTAAAGCAGCAACGCTGATCATCTTATTAAAGATGAAAGAATTTAGACAGTTTTTAACTCTCAGTGATGCTGCAGTGTTCGTTTGACTTTGGGACCTGAAGTAACTGAGTTTAGGACCCAGATTACTCCACGAGGCTCTTGACTACAGTAACCGTAATTCTCCGACAATCCATAAAGCGGTGCGGCTTCGTAGCTTACCAAAGTCGTACTAAAGCGTTTGACAGATTTTTGAGGGTCGTGTACCAAATAAAATCGGTTTGAGGTCTGTATCACAACCAGAATACATAAGGCGCACTGTCGATTTTTGAGAAAATTAAAGGATTTTCAGTGCGCCTCATAGTGCAGAAAATATGGTACTTAAACTACTTAAACTGTTAGGGCTGGTAGTAGAGGTGAAATCCTGTGGGGGATATTTTATTTACACACGTTGGGCCCCTTAGTACCAGCTGGGCAGCGCCTAAACACCACAGCCTGTCCGAGTGTTGTTACTGACCATGTCCACCCCTTTATGACCTCAGTGTACCCATCTTTCAGGACAAAGCTCATCGTGAGTTCATTGTGACCCCCTCAGTCAACAGATCTAATAGTGCACCTTTGGGATGTGGTGGAATAGAAGGTTTGCATCACTGATGAGCAGCTGACAGCAACTGTGTGACACCACTGTGTCAATATCATCTCAAAATCTCAGAGGGATGTTTCCAGCATCTTGCTGAATCTGTACCACAAAGAGTTCAGACAGTTCTGAAGGAAAAAGGATGGGGCAAACTCTGTACTGTAAGATATACTTAATGAAGTGGCCAGTGACGAGCGTATAGACATTAGTATGTCAATCTATCCAAGAACTGCTGAGAGAATTCACTAAAGGCTGAAAATTTTAAGCTCACAGTTCATCTTCTGACTACTGTTATAATAAAACCCTGCCTGTGACACTTAGTGGCTCTTCTTCCTCATTTGGCAGATGACGTGACATCACAGAGGGAATTAAAAAAAAAAAAAAAAAAAAAAAAGGCAAATATGTGGTGACAAAATGACACATTAACTGTGGAAGTAAACACCAATAGAGTGCACACAGATTTTAAGCTAGAAACTCTTTGTCAACTGGGTCCAATTAAGATGTCAATACAGACTAGGAAGTTTCTCAGTGGCAGAATAAGAAAACAAAAAAACCTTAATTAAGCTATCACACAAATATGAGGAGAAACAGGATAAGAGCAACAACTATTAAAGACGACTCACAAAAAAAAAAAAAAAAAAAATAGTACGGGTACATTTACATACTTT